CTCGAAATTTAGTAAATCTAGGAGCTTTTTCATAGCTAATTTTTAAGTTGTTAATTTTGTAAGGCCAGCAAATGATTTTATAAAGATCCAAATGGCCCTTGGCAGAAGGGCCCCACCCCTGCTCTAAAGTCAATGAAAACATATCCTTAGGTAAGGATTTAAAAACGAAAAGAAAATGGAATAAAGTGTGCTTTGAGACAGGAGTTCCTTTTCCACAGATCCGCTGGGAGGGCTTTAAACTCTAGATCAGGGGTGGGCAAACTTGTTCCTGCAAAGGGCCAGACAGTAAATGTTTGTGAGCCATATGGTCTCTGTGGCAACTGTTCAACTCTGTCATAATGTGAAAGCAGACACAGGCAATGAGAAAATGAATGAACATGACTGTGTCTCAATAAAACTATTTGTAGAAACAGGTGATGGGCTGCATGTGGCCGGAGCATGTATGTGATAACCTGCCAACTCCTGCTCTGCATCCTTGCTTCTCAAAAGAGTGACCCCCAGACCAGCAATTTCAATATAGGCTACGAACTTGTTAGAAATGCAGAATGTAGGCCCCATCAGACCCACTACATCTGAGTCTATATTTCAACAAGACCTCCAGGTGATTCACATGCACAGAGTTTGAGAAAAACGGATGTAGATAAGTGGTTTCTACACTGGAATCCAAGCTGGGTCAAGAGCATGAGATATCTCTCAAAAATGGGTAAAAACCATGCTCCTGGTTCCAATCCAATGGTCTGGATGGGGTCAGGAGCCTATATTTTTGTATGGATAATGCTAAGGTTTGAAGACCTCTAATCTGGCAGCCTCAGAGGACCCCTCCAACTAAGTTTCTATAAAGCCACTAAAGAGAACTGAGAGATGTGACAACTGTTAATTTCCTTGTTCTTGCTGTTTTTTGCTTCTGTTTTTCAGTAGCAACCCCCCTCCCACCCAGGATTTTCTGTTTCAGAAAGAAATCTTGCCTGACAGTTGCCTACATTATGAACTTCACAAATGGAACACCCCAAAAAGGCCAGTTATCAAAAAGTCCTAAGGCGCCCCCTGCTGGTGAACTTGAATGCACCCACATTTGCACAGAAGACTTTCCTTAAGGGTACTGGAGGCCACCAGAGATAAATAGGAGAGAAGGGAAGAGGGTCAGAAAAGGAGAAATGAAAGTAGGTGGGGGAGAAATTACAGCATTAATTATATCACTGCCATAAGCTCTATGGTGCTGATAAACACATTTAAATATTACGTGGAGTAGCTCCTTTGGGGGGAATTTGGGTCTCCTGGTTTTAATTCTGGCAGCAGAACTGAACTGAGGTGTCCACATAAACCCTGCACCTCTCATCCAGAGTCAGATGCTCCCGGAGAACTATGCCTGCTTCTGAACAGGACGTACAAGTTCCCTATTCCTCTCCTCCCCTCCATGGATGTGTTTTGCGCACCCACTGTGGGTTACGCACTGTCCTAGCTGTACACTGATGAACAATTCCTGGCCATGGTATCTGCTTGTATGGAACTGAGTCCTGGAAATAAACAATCAATTAAGTAGAATTAAGGCAAGTAATTACCATACCCCATGGTGACTCTCCGGGGCATGTACAACCAAGAAATACAGACCAGAATGGGGTGCGGCTGGTGTTCTGCTCAGCTAGCACCCCATTTTTAGGATCTGAATGCCTTAGTCAGGGTGTATGGTCTGCTGTCCACACAGTGGCCCCACAATCTTATTCCTCGAAGCTTAACATTGACCCATCTGATCCTGGGAGCAGTTTGAATTGGCCACAATCCTCAGTTTAGAGGTTCAGAGGAAGCTCCTAAGTAGAAATGACATTTAAGCTGAGATCAGAATAATACATTAGGAGTCTCCTGACTTGGGGGCGGAGGAGGGTTGCCAGAGCAAGAGTCTTCCAAGCAGAGTGTGTTTGAAACAGAAACATGAGACCTGAGGGAAGTCCGGCTCCCTGGAGCACGTGGGGTGGTGAGGATGCATCTAGAAATGAGGCTGGGGTGCTTCACAGGGGCCAGAGGGACAGTAAACCTGGTTTGACAAAATGGTTAGCTTTTTAAAAGTGATAGAGTGTTTCATAGGGACTTAAAGGGTTTTGTTTGTTTTTTGGTTGTTTTTGTTTTAAGGAAATGACAGTCGGACAGGCAAAAAAGACCACCTGTGATTATGTGGAAATGGAGAGTAGGAGTGAGAGCAGCAAGGTGAGATATAATGACCGGCTGCCTTAGAAGGGTGGACGGGGGATGAAGGATTAAGAGCTACTTAAGAAAGCAGAACTGATGGGACTCGGCGACTGACAGGATGTGGGGGGCAAGAAAAAAAGAGTCAAAATGGCTCGCAGATTTCTGGCTGAGGTCACAGGGTGGATGGTGGTGTCATCAGCTGAACTACAGGTCCCAAAGGGGACAGGAAAGGAAAGGGAGTTCAGCCTTGAACAAGTTGTGTGGGAGGCACATGCCAGACATCAAGTGCTCAAGTTCAGGACACAGCTGGGTGTCTGGATCTGGAGCTCAGGAGAGCAGGCTGAGTTGGGGGTAAAGACCTGGTGTTGATGGCATGTGGGAGGAGGCAACAAGGGAGATGGGGTGATCCAGGGACAGGGTGAAGCATGAGAAAAGAAAGCAGCCTAGGATAGAGCCCCAGAGGAACCACAACTTCTCAGGGACGGGCCAAAGGGCAAGAGTCCGCCAGGGAGACTCTGCCACAGGAGTCGAGAGGGCATCTGCAGGAGGGCGTGGTCCACAGAACTGGATGTCAGAAAGAAGCCAAGTAGGATGAGCCCTGTTGAGTGAGAATTCATTTAGCAGCAGGGAGGTTGTTGGTGGCCTGGGCAAGATGTTTGGTGGAAAAAAATGTGCTAAAATGTTAATGGGAAGAGAACACGCAGAAGAGAGAAGGGTTGAAGACACAGAGGAGAAAAAAGGAGGTGAGGAGCTCCTTCAGACAGAGACTGGGGGGGGATCTAAAACACAAGTGTGCACAAAGGGGTCCGGCCTTTGGTCAGGAGACAGGGGCCTTTTCCATTTATCAAAAGAGAAGGAAAAGGCTGGTCCTGCCACGGGACATCTGGTAGGTCTGATGGAAGGAAGCTGTGCATGTTTTCATGGCAAGGCTTCCATTTTCTCTGAAAGCAGTGGGGGAGGGCTTCAGAGGGCAGGAGGTGGTGGCAGGGAGAGGGACACTCTAATTTAGTTCCAGGTGATGACGAACTAAAGAGCAAGGTGGCCTGGATCTCCTGTGGGTCTGTTTCTAGTTCTGGCTTTTCTCTTGGCTTTCTTGCACCCTGGTTATTTTTAATTGAGTGCTGACCATTACATGTGAAAAACTGGAGCAGGAAGAATCTGAGGCTCTGGATGAAGTGACCCTCCTCCAGAGAGATTGACTTATTTTTGTTTCTGGCTGGCAAGTAGGCTGGAGACACTGATGATCCCATGTTTCCCTCATTCAATCGGTTCAATTGAAATGGTTCAAACCAGAGCTCTAGTCCCTCTGAGGGCTGGTTTAAGTTTGGATTACCCCTTACTCCTCAGCAATGGTCTTCCGAGGCTGGGGTGTTGACCAGGGTCCTTCCAACTTGGCGGGCCCCTACTTCAACTTTTATCTCCAGCTCTATGAATCTGGCAGGAGCTCTGTTCAGACCCTGAGCCAAACTTCCATCCAAACAACCAAGACTACCAACGCCAGAAAGAGAGTTCCGTAATTTCTCACTAATATGCAAAACCTAAGGCTTGCCAACCCACGCTGCTCTACAAGATCTCCCTTCCTAGCCAGCAGGAGCAATGGGAGTCCAGAGACCTCATTCCAGTCTCAGCCAGCAACTAGTCCTGTGACTCCTGGGCTTGACCTTTCAATGGGCCCTTATCATTACATGTAAAATGCACCTGGATCAAAACCTTTGAATTTCTTCCTGCTCTAAAAGTTTTACAATCTCTAATCTTTCTGATGTTAGGACAATCCAAGGCTATACATTCTTCTGCGGATTCGTCAATGCCCAGCCCGGCGACTGATGACAACTCTCCATTCTCATGAGAACATTATAACAAATGGACTACAACAGAGTGGATTTACACTTGTAAACAATGTTGTTTTATTTCTGGAACTGTGCCCTTTCATACTGAAAAGCCTTATTATTTCTTGCCCTGGCTACTAAGTCATGCCAAGTTGATGAGAACCCAACTCACGCTAAGGCTGAAAGTCAAAGAGAAAAGCACAACCCCAAAGAAGAGAGTCACTGTAGGGCTTCACTATGCCTAATGGCACGCAATAAATAAACATGAGGGGAACAGACCTGAGTCATAGCCAAGGACCTCAACTGTTCTTTTTGAAAAAGCATGCTGTCTGTGTTGGGCAACAGACCAAGGCAGGAGAGAGTCAAACGAATTTCAGCCTTTGGCTTTTCAGAAGCTCAAATACCACGCTTTCCTCGATGGAGAATACCAGAAGACACACAAACGTTCTATCTGTTTTCATGATGGACAAAAGAACCATTGGTTGAAAATAATGACAGGCTGAAACAAAGTCCTGCTTTTGTGCAGAGAAGACCTAACTAACGGAGCCTCTTCACTATGCAGAGAACGTTGTCCTGCACAAACTCGTGGACTCTGGCCCGAGTTCTGCACTGCCCAGCCTCCATGCGCCCCCCACCTCCACCACTACGTCTGGGGCCTCGCCCTGCCACTACCTAACAATGGTTATTCGGGCATGCAGAATATACTGAGAACCCACTGCAGCCCAGACGGTGATGAGGGTATATCAGGTGCCTGGTATTATGAAGCTAAAATCAAAAACAGTGTCTCAGTTTCCCCATCAGCGAAATGAAGGTGCTGAACCAAGTATCTCTGAGGTTCCTTTTGACTTTAAAGTGCTATGGTTCTATAGTCGGAGTTATAGCCCTGGTTGGCAGTACGTATCTGTGTGGCGTGGACTGGCACAGCATCTCTGGGCCTCAGTTCCCCCATCTATAGAGCAAACAGGTGAAATGTGAAAATGGCCCCTCAGTTACCTTATGCAGGCACAGGGGGAGGTTTCCAGAGTTGCCCTGCAAGGAGTGCCTCTGCTGAACGGCAGCCCAACAGTAAGAATCCACGAAGGCAGCCTGCCGCCAGGAGAAAGAACTTGGGGAGAAACAGCTTATCTGTGTACCTAAGAAACAAAAACAGATTGTTCCAGGTGAACAGAAGCACGGGGTCTGGACCCTTCCCACCCTGCCCTCCTCTCCCTCCCTGCCTCCGCCTTTCAAGTGTGAGCCAAGTCAAGGAGCACCACACGGGTAAGGGCAGAACTGAACCAAACACCCACGTTCGTAGTAAAGCTGAGTGTTTCAGCATTTTTTGGCCAACCCTGGTCATGACCGCAGCTTGAGCTCAAGTGGGGAAAAACTCTTGAAAGAAGTAAAACCACCATAAAAAGAAAAAGTGAGCCGGGAAAAAAGCAGAGCCAAAAATATAGAAAGGAAACATGCATAGAGTTGGTTCCCTTTGGGGGGAGGATTGAAAGAAGGGAGAGGGATTACAGGGTGGGGACGGGGCAGGGAGGAAGAGAGTCAGTGCGGACAACTAGACTAGAAAAAAAGGCTTTTCAGAACAAAGAAACGAAGGACATTAAGCCTGAGGTAGAGAGGCTGATGGAGCATTTGGTAATACTTCGCCCAATGACAAATAGGCAGTTTTCCATCTCCTCTAACAAAAAAGGCACAGGCTGAAGCTGCAGCCCAGGAGGTTTGCATCTGGAAGGCAGATGTTCTGGGCGGCAAACCTCCAGACAGGGAGATGGGGAACCAGGAGAGCTGGGTCCTGCTTGAGGCTCTGCTGTTAACTTGCTCTTCTGGGAGCTCAGGACTCATTCTTCTCATCTGCAAACGGGGACTACATCACTCTGCAAATGCTACCACTACCTACTACCTGCAAGACTCTTCATGCTCCCAGGGGCCTGTGTGCCCTTGACTCACACAGGCCAGGTGGGAAGTTGGCTGAGATTTTTGGGGTGCGGGGCTGAGGCCATGTCCCCCACTCCTTGACCACAGGTACCTGGCACTGAGCCTCTCCTGGCAGCCCCTAGCCCAGCCCTGCTCCTCGCACAGGAGCCTGGGGGTGTCACAGGCGTAGGGGCCAGCTGCCGAGGCCGGGAGCAGGCACAGTCTTCCACATCCTGTGCAGCATGAGAGACTACTAGATGCCTGAACTCTGATGTTAGCTGTATTGAAACCTAACTCTGCCATTCATAGCTGGGTGACCTCAGATCACCTACCCTTCTAAAGCCAGGGATCTCCCAAAGGGTGATGACATTAATGTCTACATTCTTAGTATAGGGCCTGGTTCCTAGCAGTTGCTTAATAAGCATGACATTATTCTATACAAAGTAACCAGCATATTCTGTTATAGCTTTAAAGACATGGGGCATGCCCACCATTCTCTCTTTCCTCCCTACAGAGAGGGGGCAGGAAGACACTGAACTGGATTTTCCTACTCCTTTGGACATAAAAAGCCTTGAAGGGTCTTCTCCTGGGGAGGGGGTGGCCTGTATAGCTGTGACAGGAGAGGGCAGTGACAAAGAGGTTGTCCAAAGAGTAGATTCTTATGGTGGGGGGGCAATAGGCAAGGCCCTGAGCACCTCTTTTTCATCAGGTGTCTTTATGTCCACAGACATCAAGAAAGGACTTCTCAGGAAGAGCCCTTAGAGAAGATCATTGTGAAAAGTCACATGCCATTAGAGCATGCCCTATAATACCCGCTAGGAAGGCCTTATATATGAGTTGGGGGTAGGTAAGGTATTTCAAGGCCCCTTCCAATTCTCTCTTTATACATTTTATAAAAGCAGAGCAGTCAAGACAGCGCAGGACTATGGGGCTAGCGTCACACTGCTCTCCCATCAGCAGGACTTTGTCAAATGCTTCCCATGTGGTCCCAGCCACCAAGATTTACTGAGCATGATGGCAGAGACACAAGGACAGGCAGGCTCAGGTGATTCAGGGATGGTTCCTGGTAAGCTGCTTGCTTGGCAACACCTGTCCAAATACTTTTTCATGAAAATGGACAATGCTGTTAGGATTTCCTGAGAACCTGTCTGGCCCGTATGTTCCTTAGGTGTAGTCCTCTTAGTGCCAGTAGCCACCATGGAGTAACATTCTTTCTACAGGAAAATGTGCTTTATGTTCTGTCTCAGGACTTCAGGGCACCTCTGCCAAGGCAGTGGTAGAAACTGCTGAAACATAAGTAACTAAACTTTTTATACCAAAGCTTTTGCAAAAGAGCATGAAAGGAAATATAACTGAGTCTAGAGAAATGGAGATTGAGGATGTGCTGAGCTCACAAGTAAACATCCTTCATCTGGAACAGAAGGTCAAAAGAAAAGACAGCAGACAACAAATATTCATGGGACACCAAGAAGCTCTTAATCATTACCTCATTTAAACCTCTCAACCAAGTTGAGAGGGAGAGAAGAAGGGGGAGAGAGAGAGAGAAACAGAGAGAGAGAGAGAGAGAGAGAAAGAGATAGGGATAAAAAAGATCCATGTTATCCTCATTTTATCCTGGAGGAAACCAAAACTCAAAGTAGTTCAGTAATTCCCTACCCAAGCTAGAAAATGGTAGCTCCAGAATTGGAATCTGTATCCAATTCTCCTCTTAAAATACTCCCCCCACTCCGGGCCAGTCACTCCAGCAAGGCCATGCTGGAGGAGGTCTTAGGAGCCAGGGCTCAGTTGGAGTTTGGGTGGTTTGAACAAGTAGTTCCTCCAAGTGAGCAGAATAGGCAGAGCTTCCTGGGGAGGATCAAAGGCAAATCTGGGAATCCAGATCAAGCCCCAGGTCCTGGGTATTCTCACGCCAGAAATGGGAAACAAAGGAAGTCAAGAGCCAGGCAGGGGCAGAAGTCAAACTGGGAGTGAAGAGCAGGAGTCAAGAAAGGGGCAAAGCAAGAGGGTGCTGGGGGACCAGCATGTGCTGGGTACTGCGGCTCTACACCTTCACCTAGGGCGTGACAGCTCAGCCTGGTGTTGAGATGCAAGGCTGTTTCCATGGGGCTAGGATGCGTGAGTCCTGGACCCTCCTGATCCATCTCCAAATGTACTCTTATAGCCTTTTTCTCACTTACTCTTCAAAATAATATTGGAAGGTGAACAGGTGTTCTATACATTTTCCTAGTAATCTTCCCATAAGGAAAGCTTCCAGTTTCTCCCTAGATTGTTCATCCTTAAGCTCAGGTCTGACCTTGACACGCCCTTGGCTCAAGATTCTTCATGGGTTCTCCACCGCACAGTGCATAAATCCAAACCAATGCTCCAATCCAACCCAATATTGCTGTGGTTTGCACAGACCTGATTCATTCCCAAACTCTGCCTTCCCTCTGTCTGGGGGCCCTCTCTCCAATAGTTGTTTAAGTCAATGCCCCTCCACATCTACCTCCGTGGCCCATCTTTCAAAACCCGCCTCAGATAGTCACCTATCTGAGGTGATAGAAGCTTCACCTCAGATAAGCTTCTTCCCCAATGAGCTCCCAGAGCCCTTTAAAGCCATCAGAGGCACGCATCACCTTCAACCATGCTGCATAAATATGCAGGTATGTCTCATCTCCTCTAGTGAGATCTCAACTCCTGGCCAGTAGGGTAGACAGAGTCTCTCTCTGTTTCTTTCCTACACACAGCACCCTGTATCAAATTAGTAACACTGTTTGGTATTTTAACCATTTGTAAGTATTATCATAAATACTGTTTCAATGTTCAAGTATCCCTGTTTCATAGCTGGGAAAACAGCCCCCTGACAGGCAGTGATCCTCTGGCCAGAGTTCCAGCTCTGCCGCCCCACCCTGCGGCTGCTGGCTGAATGAGCGTTGGTTTCTAGCGAGAAGCTTTAGTGTGATATGCACTGCCCCCCACAACTGTACAGAAAGCATGAAACAAGTCTCAGGTTTATATCAGAACGAGACAGAACACTACTTTCCACTGTCTGAGAGTGCAGAGGGAGTTGTGGGCTTCATATTCATGTGTCTGGCCAGATATAATGAAAGACCGCAAGAGGAAACGTGTTCACGGGCACTGTGGAAGCAGTCACAACATATGTTAAGTAAGTAACCCAACCACAGACATCCTCCCTGCCCCCCTTCCTGGCCTTGGCCTGGAGCCCAGGAAGCCCAGGGTGAGGGTCACACGTCTGAGTGGCAGCCCAAGTGGCCGTTGGTGCAGCTTAGACCTGTACGTGTGGCTGCCACAGAAGCAGCTGGTGGAGAACCAGAAGGCAACGTGGTCTGAGGGTAGACAGGACCAGAGTCAGGGAGGGCAGGCCTGTCCAGTGGTTTCTCAATGGCACCCACACAGCTTGTGCAAGGCCCTGTTTCCAGTCCAACCTCGCAAAGAGGGATGTTGGCCTAGTTTGCTATTGTCCCTACCTCTTGAACAAGCTTTCGTTTCACTTATATGCATCACTAACCCCTGTGAGTTCTGGGCAAGCACTGTGTCCCCTGACAAACACCCACCCTCCCTCCCAGGGTGCTGTGTGGGAATGATTCCAGTATTTGCTTTTGCATTTATATGCTAAATGCAACTGTGAGGTGGCACAGGAATCAGGCCTCCTGAAGCGTTGAGAAAACTCATCAAAACCGCAAGTTTAACAAAAATAAAAACACAAATAGGAAGATCTAGTTAACTGGCTGGGAGAACTTTAGAAGACCTTTCAAATGGAAGACATTCTAAGCTGAAATAACTAATACACTGAAGAGACTGAAGGGGCAGTAGGAGGCAAGCAGAGGGAACTAGCCCTTGTGTATATTTTTACCCCTATTTTAAAGATGGGGAAAGTGAGGCACTGAGATCATGTGGCTACTAGGTTGGCGAGCTGGTATATCAACCCGGGTCTCTGTCTTCACCTTCCAAACACAAGAAAGAGGAGGCATAGAGCACAGGTCATTAACGAAGGTGAGGTCAGAGACGGTGGAATGAGAAAGGAGGCAGGAGTTTCTTTGAGGGGAACAGTAGATCCTGGGGTTGCTGTTCTGAGGTTCAAAGTGAAAATAGAGTACAATTATAACCATTACTATCTATATAGCTTTTTAAAATTTATAAAATATTTTTATTTTGCATAACAAAAATTTAAATTCAAATTAATATAAATTTATATGCACACACACCTCACACGTATATATACACATAT